ATCCGTGATTTGTACCCTCCCTGCGCGCACGTGGAGAGAGTCTATATGCTACACATGATTACACCATTCCAATGTGTACTCCTATATAAAGTGGTTAATATTTTCTTCATTTTCCTATGTGGGACTAAATTTATTTCCCAGATAAATTATCTTCCAATGGTCATCTTTGAGCTTCAATTTCTCATTCATCTATTCATCAATTTTGGCAAATAAATACATGGTTCGATGCTCTCACGGAGGAGAACAATGATCAACTTCGATCTTTCAAATTTGACCAACGGGTCCCACACAAATTTTATGCCAAAATCATCTACTAGCCCATTTTTTCCAACAATCCCCCTCATGAATGAAAATTGGGAGAGACATGAGATCGTGATACATGAGACTTGCTGACCGTGACACTCAAGACTAGGTGATAAAGTTCAACGGTTGAAACCTATATAGGATAGGTAGGTATTATCCTTTGAACCTTCCTTTGTGAAAGTATATTTACTTTACTAACTGACCAATAGACATGTTATCCTTGAACTGTTCTGTCATTTATGTAATCAATGATATACTCCATACAGGATTCTTCCTAACACAATTCAGTTCTCATTATTATGTTCATTTTGACCAGGGACATATGCCTAGTTCTGTGAGAGTTCTAAAGAATTGAGTCCCACACAATTCTCTTAGAAGCGGCCCCCACTTCTCTCTCACATAGATGATTTCTTATTACATGTAACCCGCATTACTTAGCTCGATTTTTTACCATAATAATCATTAAAAGCCTATTGCTTGTTCTTCATCCTTACGAGCATCACTGTTACATCATAGGAATGGACAGGAGGAAACACCCCCACAGTGATTTTATTAAGTTTTTACAATTAGGTTGTCCCTTTGACCCTAGATCTTGGGATCTCTAGTCAACTAGGTTGGATTTTCTTTGTAATGACTTATTCATTCAAGGGCTCAAGTCCCATTCCTTTCGATGATTTCCCAACTAACTTTCTAATTAACCCTTTGGTTAGCGGATCCGCGATGTTATCTTTTGACCTTACGTAGTCAATAGTGATAACTCCAGTTAAGAGTATATGTCTTATAGTATTGTGTCTACGACGTATATGTCTAGACCTATCATTGTACATATTACTCTGTGCCCTTCCTATTGCTGATTGATTGTCACAATATATGCAAATTGCTGGCACAGGTTTTGACCATCTTGGAATATTCTCTAAGAAGTTGCGCAACCATTCGGCCTCTTCATCATATATTTATCTAGAACTATAAACTCAGATTTCATCGTAGATCTGGCTATAACTGTTTGCTTAAAGGATTTCCACGATATGGCAGCACCTCCTAATATGAACAAAAATCCACTGGTGGATTTTTAGTCTTTTATATCAAATGTCCAATTAGCATCACTGTATCCTTCAATGATCGTCGGATATCCATGAGTACATCTTAAGTACCTTAGTACTCTTACTATTCCTTCCAGTGATCAGTTCCTGGATTACTCATGTATCTACTCAGTTTATTGACTGTGTAGGCTATGTCTGATCTTATACAACTCATCAAGTATATTAGACTTTCAATAAATCTCGAGTATTCTGCTTGAGAGACACTTTCACCTTTATTTTTAGATAGATGTTGACTTATATCTATCGGTGTTCTAGTCAAACCAGTATCATCCTTATTGAACTTTTTCAAAATTTTGTCCACATAATGTAACTGACTTAGAACTAACCCATCTGATGTTCTTGAGATTTTGACTCCAAATATAACATCAGCTAAGCCCATATCTTTCATGTCAAATCTCGAATTCAACATATTTTTAGTGGATTCTATCTTTTTATTGTCACTGCCAACAATAAGCATATCGTCAACGTAAAGACATAAAATAACATAACCATCTTTAGTATTTTTGACGTAAACACATTTGTTACATTCATTGATTTTAAATTCACTCTCTATCATGACATTATCAAATTTTTCATGCCATTGTTTGTGTGCTTGTTTCCCATATAGTGACTTTACCAATTTACAAACTTTATTTTTCTACCCTGGTGACGAAAACCCCTCGGGATGCTCCGTATAGATTTCTTCTTCTAAATCTCCATTTAAAAATGTAGTTTTAACATCTATTTGATGTACTTCAAGATTTCGTAAAGAGGCAATCGCAAATCTCAACCTAATAGATGTTATTCTCGTTACTGGAGAATACTTATCAAAATAATCAAGGTCTTCCTTTTGTTTGTCACCTTTTATTATTAATCTAGCCTTATACTTTTCAATAGTTCCATCTACTCTCATTTTCCTTTTGAAAATTCATTTATAGCCTAATAGTTTGCTTCCTGGAAGAAGATCCACTAGCTTCCATGTAAAATTTTGCAGTATGGAATCTATTTCACTTTTAATGGCTTCCTTCCATTGAGGTCATTTTGAGGAATTCACAGCCTCTCGATAACTTTGAGGTTTACTTTCTAGCATATAAGTCAGGAAATCAGGACTGTACGATTTTTTTTGTCCTTTCCCATTTGCTACGTCTAACCTCAATCTCCTCTTCCAGTTCTTCGTCATGACTATTTTCAGTCATAGTCTCATATATTTGTTTGGAGGAGCTTGCTTCCTCTTTGGACTTGTACGAAAATACATATTCAAAGAATAAAGCATCTCTTGATTCCAATATCGTGTTTTTGTATATGTCTGGGATTTTAAAATCATACACAAGACACCGATAAGCACTACTATTGTGTGCATAGCCAATGAAGATGCAGTCTACTATTTTTGATCCTATCCTTACCTTTTGTGGTGTTGGAACGACCACTTTAACAAGACATCCCCACACTCGTAAGTATTTATAGGAAGATTTTCTTTCTTTCCATAACTCATAAGTGGTCTTTCCAATTTTCTTTCGAGGTACTTTATTTAAAAGGTAATTTGTTGATAACACAGCTTCCTCCACATGTTCTGAGGTAATCCAGAATTTACTAGCATTGCATTCATCTTCAAAGTACAATTTTCCCATTTAGCAACACTGTTTTGTTGCGATAAATAAGGTGCGATGGTTTCATGTATGATTTCGTGTTGTGTACAGAATTCCGCAAATGGTCCTTCACACTCACCACCTCGATCGCTTCTTAATACCTTAATTTTCTTATTAAGTTAAGTTTCAACTTCATTCTTATAGAGAACAAATTTCTCTATAGCTTCATCTTTACTTTTTAGCGAATACACATAACAGTATTTAGTGTTATCGTCAACAAAAGTAATGAAATACTTGTTGTCACCTCTTATTTGTACAAGTTTTAAATCATATACATCGTAGTGAATTAAATCAAGTGGTTCTGTGTTCCATTCAATTGATTTAAACGATGACCTTGTCAATTTTGTTTCAACACAAGTTTCACACTTATGTTTGGAATCAATATGGAACTCGGTATGCATTTCAAGTTAACTAGTTTACGTAAAGTATCATAGTTAACATGTCATAGTCTACCATACCACAAATTGAAAGACTCAAGCAAATAAGCAGAAATGTTTGCTTTATTCATTTTTTGTTTAACAATCATTACATTCAATTTAAACATACTGTCGAAAACATATCATTTTTCGACAATCATTTCACTTTTTGATAAAATAATTTTGTCTGACTCAAATACAATGCGAATATCATGCTTATTCAAAAGCGACTTGGACACTAGGTTCTTGCGAATTTTCGACACGTATAACACATTGTTAAGAGTCAGGTCCTTTCTCGAGGTCATCTTCGGAACTACCTTTCCTTGACCTTTGATTTCAGAAGTTGCTGAATTTCCCATAAACAACTTATTCCCATTATCAATTGCCTCAAACGCAGCAAACAACTCCTTATCAGAGCACACATACCTCATATTCCGAAAACTTGTGGCCCACTTTGTCACAATTGAAGCATTTTCCTTGAAATTTCTTCTTAGAAATTTCACCTTTTGATCCTTGCTTGGTCCTTTTGCCATCAGATGGCCCAGACTTGTTTTTGTAGTTCTTATTACTTTGACCATGCTCCACAACATTAGCTTTTGCAGCACCAGGATTGAACCACTTCTTTTCAGAACTCTTGTTATCTTCTTCAATTCAAAATCTAACAATTAGTTCTTCGACGTTCATTTCCTTTCGTTTGTGCTTCAAATAATTCTTGAAATTTTTCCATATGGGTGGCAATTTTTCAATAATTGTATCCACTTGAAAAGTTTCACTTAAAATCATCCCTTCGGCATGAATTTCGTGAAGAATCACTTGGAGTTCTTGCACTTGATTAATAACTATTTTGGAGTCCACCAGTTTATAGTCTAGGAATCTGCCGACAATAAACTTTTTAGCCCCGACATCTTCAATTTTATATTTTTGGTCCAAAGACTCCCACAACTCTTTAGCAGTTTTCATAGTACTATACACATTGTATAGTGTGTCTGCTAAGCTATTTATAATATAGTTTCAGCACAAAAAATCCGAATGGTTCCAAACATCAAGTGCACTGATTGCTTGAACATCTCTCTCACCCTCATTGAGTTTTGGAGCAGTCTCAGCCAAGAATCTCATAAAATTCAAAGTGGTTAGATAAAATAACATTTTCTGCTACCACTTTTTGAAATTCAAGCCATTGAATTTCTCCGATTTTTCTCCATAATTAACCAGAACATTAACGATATGGCCAGTTGTTAGAGCCACAGTTTGACTCACAATATGACTTGCTATCTAGTCACAGTCTGAGCCACAACAGAGCTTGGCCTTTGAGCCACAGCTGAGCCCATAGCCTGATTTCCAGTAGGCACAATTTGGGTCACATCCATGTTGGTTGATTCGATTGTCATTTCCGAAAATCAAACAAAAAAATTAGTTTCCAAAATTAACAGTATAAGAAACCATTTTTTTTCTTTTAGGAATCTGTTTTAAATTTGTTGGAATATAGTGGTGTTAATGAAATCAGATTATCACATATCATATATGTAGTTTAGATACCGATTTTGAGCATACTGTATATGCAATATACCGTATATGTAGCTTATCTATTTGCAGATAGCTTACTGTATTTGCAGACAACTTATTGCCTACCATATATGCTTCCTACCATATATGCTTTTAACCGTATTTACACATATTTTCTTTACCATTTTCATATATACTATATTCTCACTTACACATAGAAATACCGTATATGTAATATACATATACCGAATTGTACTTACCAACTGTTAGCAAGAAAATTCGGATACATTTTTTTTCTATTTTTATTTCTAACATAAATATAAAACAAGTAAACTACAAAATATATGAATCTAGTAAATTACAAACGTGTAAATCGCTAAATAAATAAATAACCGTAAGAATAAATTGCAAATATGTAAATTGCAGAAGATAAATAAAATTTCAATCCGAGGCCCGTGAACAGTTTCCTTAAAACTGATTCGCTCTCTCACCGTAAATGCTTGAGATTTAATCCGAGCGTCTATTTTTCAGGATACAACGGTGATAGTAGAATTCAAGCACTACAGAAATCACTCCGATGAACTGAGTTTGTATCGAACAATATCACCACTAAGACGACGCTGAAAATGAAATAGATTGTGTGTGCAGACCACTAATTTGACAGATTTCGTGTGTATGCAGTATTATCGTGGTTAGAATTACTAGAAAATGAGACTTATATATATATAAGATTAAATCTACCTATTAACTCCATAGCAATAAACACTAGTGTTGCTTCAATTTCTGGGAGTTTTGGCAGTTTTTCGGAAACTCAAAGGTCAGTTGAAGAAAGCAAAAAATTGCAAAACATGGACAATCCAAAAGGGCCAATTTTTGCTCCATTCGGTTCGACATTCGTGTACGCAGGTCGCACCCGCACACAAGTTTAAGGTCCGAAGGCAATTTCGATCCATGATTTGCACCCTCCCTACGCTCGTACATGAAAAAAGTCTCTATGCTACACATGACTACACCATTCCAATGTGCACTCCTATATAAAGTGGTTAATACTTTCTTTATTTTCCTATGTGGGACTCGATTTATTTCCCACATAATATCTTCCAATGGTCATCTTTGAGCTCCAATTTCTCATTCATCCATTCATCAATTTTGACAAATAAATACACAGTTTCGATGCTCTGACAGAGAAGAACAATGATCAATTTCGATCTTCCAAATTTGACCAATGGGTCCCACACAAATTTTATGCCAAAATCATCCACTAACCCATTTTTTCCAACATGATGCATGTTTACAAGTAATGAGCAAGAGTGCAAGTCGCTGTATAAAGAAAAGTGGAAACAAGAGACAGATCAAGCGGTATAATGGAACGAAAATGTGAAGATCTAACTAATCCACCAACTAAAAAAAATTTCCCGATTCTGACAAGGTCTTATTTCAGTGATATCCCTATAATTATGGACAAGTCGTACTTCTATTTATCTACAATATCTTCCATTTCGTCCAAGCAGGATCCGAAGTATCGGCCTTATTGGATAGAATGCCTTCCGCTGACGGTTATCAACCTAGCCTGAGTACCAAAATGGGTATGTTACAAGAAAGAATTACTTCTACCGAAGAAGGGTCCATAATTTCTATTCAAGTAGTTTATGTACCTACAGACGATTCAACCGACCCTACTCCTGCTACCACATTTGCACATTTAGATGCTACTATCGTACTATTAAGAGGATTAGCTGTCAAAGGGATCTATCTGGCAGTAGATCCTTTAGATTCACCTCCCTATTACAGAAGCAAAACCCTATAATTATTTGCAGCAACAGTTATGGAGTACTGCACTTCAATAGGTGTTAGAGTAACCAATGGCATCCCTTTTAATGAAGAGTCACCAATTATTGTATTAATATAGCATCTCTCAATTGCAAAAACAACTTGCAGATCTACCAATACCAAATTCCACAAAACAAAAGTTATGGAAGTTAATTAAATAGTTAAAGATTTGTAACAATGTTGGAAAATAAAATAGATTGAGATAATATCGATATAAAGTATATGATCGCAAACAAATAACAAGATAAAAGACAAAGAATTAATTGGTAGAGGAACAAAATATTTTATTTAATTGACTAATATGAAGAAAATAAATACAATAATTATACCTACATAATTATTCTATATTTTAGTAATACAAAACTTATAAAAAGAGTCTAGTATTTATATGGGTGCATGTCAAACCCTAGAAATATCACAAAGATGAAAACAAGATTAAAAAAATCACGTGAAATAAAAGAAACAATATTTTTCCAATAAAATCACGTGGAATAAAGGAAGTAATATTTTTTCAAAAAATCCAACCTAATTTGGATAAAAAAAAAAACCAACAATTTCTGCCTTGACACAAATTCCGATATAAAGAACGAAACTACAAATTTTCACCACCTAGAAAAATAAATCCGGCTGCAAGAAAAAATCGGAACTCTTCAACAAGGAACAAACTTTCTCCAATACAAAAATTCTCCTCTTCTTTGTTACTTTTGGTCAATGGCAGGTTTCATTATCAATATTTTAGCAACAAATCCAATAAATATAAGTCTAGTGAATGGTGAAGATGGGAATATTCTTCTAGATTTTTTTAATTTTTACATGCATTGCTCTTTCAACATTTCCGGCACTCTTTCCTATATAAAATCAAACTAAAACACTATGACTAGTAGTCTGGCTGCTATCTTTGAAATATGAACATATTTGGTAAATAAAAAATTTACAGTTTGTCAAATGCGATAGTATTTTGCTATTTGTATACTTTTTACCACCTTATTGATAGAAAACTGTGTTGGCAAAATTTTATTAAATAAAAAAATAGCCTTTTTTAAATTGTTCAATGACAGAGTGCTAAGTGGCATACTGTCAAAGAAGCTATCGCATATGATGTATGTATGTTTGAAGTCAAAATGGCTATATTGAGATCACAGCTTTGATATTATAAGACAAATCCAGATTCTTATATTTTCTTGTTCATACTGACCGACTCCCTTGTCAACTTGACCACCACCTGCCTCAGGGGGCCTAATCCAGTTGTGCAAAGGAAATGAGTGAGGTTATCTCAAGCCTTGCTGACAGATGCAGTGTGGGAGTTCGATTTCTGATACATGGAATTGGACTCCTTATAGGCGCAGTGTACAGACAGCTCTAGTTCCCTAGCCTAATGGGGCATATTCTACTATTTACCTCCCTCACAAAACTCTAGAGACGGGGCGGTGGGAGCTCTCAAGGTTAGGGCTCAACCTTTTTTTTTTTCCTAACTTGACCACCACCTTGTACTCCTCAAAATATTACTAAAAACGAGTAATCACTTGTCCTTTTTCCTTGTGTAACATTATTCGCTCTCCCAATATGTTAGCAATGACTTGTAAAATTGAAAATTCCCACTTATATTTTATGCACCTAACCAAACACACTTTACTCTAGTTTATTAAGCCCGGGACCTGGGATGAGAGGGACAAGAATTAAAGAAATCAAACAATTCACGTACAATTTTCTAAAAATATTTTATTCAATGTATCCAAGTGAAATAAAATCAGACAAATAAATGTAACGAACAAAAAATTTATTCAAAAAAATGCAGATTTGATACTATCGTGCATAAAAAGTAAATACATAATAAAACTAGTTCATGTTTGATTTTGTTAATAATCAGAATTTTAGCAGGTTGTCATAAAAATTCGTTCATGTTTGATTTTGTTAATAATCAGATTTTTAGTAGATTGTGATAAAATTAGATCTGTGGCTGAAAAGTTGATATAAGTAGTGAATTTCATGAAATGTATTATTAAAAATGAGTTTTAATCTTTTAGATAATGGGAACCAAACATGGACTTAGTTTGAACAAGTCATGAACCACCACCACAATTCAAGGCAAGAATGTAGATGAAGTTGAAGAAAGTTAAGTTGAACTGTAGATGAAAAACTAAGATCCAAGGCACGTGTTTGGCCTTTGGTTTAGACGATATTTGCTCCACTCGAATGATGCACATGGTATAGCAAAATTCTCTAGGATACAATAGAATCCGACCTTTTTTTTTTTTTTTTTTTTTTTTATTTGTGCAAAATGAAAAAATATCGGTTTGGCCTTTGGTTTAGACGATATTTGCTCCACTCGAATGATGCACATGGTATAGCAAAATTCTCTAGGATACAATAGAATCCGACCTTTTTTTTTTTTTTTTTTTTTTTAATCGTGCACAAGGTAAAACTATCGTGAACACAAAGGAGAGAAGAAGCCAATTTAGAGTCTCATTTTCCGTACTTGCGGACTACAAAACAAGACAAATTTGACAAAAATGAAATGCAAGTATGCTGGAGAATAATGTTTTAAGAAAGAAAATGAAGGAGAAATATATTGTTTCAAATATTATATAAAAAATCAACAATTACATAAATAAATATTAATATTATTAAATTGTGAAGTCTAATTATTGTTGTTATGCAAAATCCGTAGTGTATAAGGGTGTATTAAAATTTAACACTTCTAATTTCCAGTTCGCCCTTATTTTTCTTATAACTAGGAAGTCTTCATTAAGGTTTATTTATCGTGATCATCATATAAAAAAAAAAAAGAAAAAAAAAAGAGAGATTAGAGAAAATAGGATATACAATTTTTCTCTTGTAAACTTCTTTTCATTATAATAAATTACTACAATAGTGAACAAGGACATAAGCTTGTATTGAGACGAACCTCTATAAATTTTACATATTTTTATTTTTATTTTTATTTTTATTTTTGTCCTTATTTCTTTAGTGTGATTTTATTGCTTTTGATGGTATATTCTAATTCTCAATAAATATTGCTCTTCCAAAGAGTTAAAACCTTGCACGAGTTCCAACAACTCAATCTTACAATTGCCTGATAGAATTTTTGTGAAAGAGACAAAAAACTGAACCATAACATGAACATGTCTGGTTTGAATTAATAACATATTTCATCAATTTTGATTGAAATATATTAAAAAACTGATTTTAACGTGCACCAATTATGGGCTAAATACAAATTAGTTATTAAATAATAACTGTCACGTAAAATTATAGAAAATGTTGCGTAATTGATCGGGAAATTATGAAAATAATGAAATAAACAAGAATAAAACAAGAACACAGAGATTTACGTAGAAACCCAAGATGGGAAAAAATCATGACAGAGAAGGAAAAATTCACTTAATCAATAGCAGCTGTATTTAAAACAAGATCTCAATACTCTCAACTAAGATCTAAAGATGTCGGGGTGTTGTGTGTGTGTGTGTGTATAAGAAACCAAGGTATAGATGAATAGGAGTCTAAAACACGTCAAAACGCGAAATTCGAGAAACCATGTCACTTGAGCGATAGGCAGGAGACCATCCCATCATTTGAGTGTCAGGCGGATGACAGGCAGGCGAGAACTTTCTATTAAAAATCTGTTGGTGTCGCTCGCGCGGCCAGCTAGTGACAGGCTAGCGAAAATGCGACGATCTTTCTTCCTAGTTCATCACTTTGATTTCTTCAAGATCACTTCAACTAGGACTTCAATATCCACTAGAATTTGGTCATATTATAACATATTTCCACCTTGAACCAAATTCCAAATACAAAGAATTCTAAAAACATGTCTCCAAAGCAAACATCATTCCTCCTTTTCCAAACAAGCCCCAATCGACTAAGTCAATGATAAACACCAACTAAGTACAAGTAATGCTCAAACTTAGCAATGCGAAGTAGTTTTGTCATCATATCAATAGTATTATCCTTGGTATCAACCTTGCTCACTATAATATCACCACGAGCAATCACTTCACGTACAAAATGATACCTCACATTAATGTGCTTAGTTCTCTCATGAAACATCTTATCCTTAGTCAGAAAAATAGTACTCGGGCTATCACATTACACTATAAAAATCTACAAGTCTTCACTGATTTCACCAATTAATCCCCTTCTGTTGTCCAACTTCCCATTATCCACATAAGTATAAGCAGAACACCCAAAAATCTCCAAATTAGTATAACAAGAGGGTTTTCTAGACCATACATCTTCTGACGTCTTTTTCTTAATGGCAGTTGAGGGTGAACAATTAATCAAAAAACAAGCTATGGCAGCAACTTCAGTCTAAAAAATCTTAAGCAGCCTCGAATTTGAAAGCAAACATTGAACATTTTCCATCAGAATTATATTCATACGTTCTGCTACCTGTTGAGGAGTTTCGAGCACTGTCAAGTGTTTAATGATGACTTCAACCTTGTAGAAGCTATTAAATTTATCTGAACAAAACTCTAACCCATGATCTATATGTAGTCGCTTTATTTGCTTTTCAGTCTACTTTTCTTTCATTGTTTTCCATTCCTTGAAGGTCCTAAACACATCACTCTTCTGTTTCAAGAAGAGTACCCAAACTTTCCTAGAAAAATCATCAATCATTATTAACAGATAATAAGCACTTCCTCTTGAAGGTACCCTTGCTGGTCCCCAAAGATCTAAATGGATATATTCAAGTGTTCTTTTCATATTATGTCTTCATGTAGTAAATCTAACCCTTTTCTGTCTTTCAAAGGCACAGTACTCACAAAACTTCATCTTACTGGTTTTCTGCTCATCAAGAAATCTCTTACTACTCAACTCTGTCATACTATTGTCACTCATATGCTCAAATCGCATATGCTAAAATTTTGTAACTTCTTTATCAATTAAAGAAGAAGTCGAGACTGCTGTATCTCCTGTAATTGTGGATACCAATGTGATTGAATTCCAGGTGTTTTCCCCCTCGGGATTCTAGAGGGA